AGACTTGTTTAGTTATTAGTCTATACTGAGTGACCAAGAAATATTCAACTACATGTAACTTTAAATTCGTAGAGATAGCAGATTATTAGATTATAATTCAATAATACTATATATCTGATTTCTAAAATATATAGTGCATCTAATGTATGAATATACTGTATATATATATAGTACATATATGCTTATATATGCTTACTTATTGTATGTTGATAATTCAGATTCTCAAATTAACAATTTAAGCCTGATTTTAATGCAATATTGGCTGTTATCGAAAGTCTAAATCCACGACATATACACTTTTCAAGTTATCTTGCAGAATTTTTCACCATAAATTCAGATGAATTAGATTATAAGAATAGATCATTAGAAAAGATGATTAAAATAAATACGTGAGTATGAAAATATGTACAGTATAGTATAACAAGCCTTGCATTTTAATATTTCATCCTGTTTTAAGCCAAATAAATCATATTTTCTTTATATACTATATATAGTATATTCTGTTGTAAATTTAAATGTATCGGTATCACTTATCATTATTATTTGTAGCTATGTTACTCAGGTTCGCTATATTCTAAACTGGTTTAAACTACTTGATTGAAGCATTTCAATTTTTGAACTGATGCATATAGTTATACTAATCGAAAAATTTCTAACTAGATTTGGATAAATTCTTGGAATGCTTTTAAATTCGATAAAATATTAGAACAGATTTTATCTAATACCTGTGCTTATTTAGCATTCCTTGGTATTTTAGCGTATAATATAATATTATCTAATACATATCTAATTATGATTCACATTTAATCCAGTAATATATAAGTTTGAGATTAAAATACTGTTGCGACATGATTGTTGAATCTAGTAAAAACTCTTGAGAATCTACTAAATTCTAAACTACCGGGTTTGGTTTATATTTGTAATCGAATTTGTTAATTATTTTTAAAGTTTTATTATATATATATATAGAGCATAGCAGGCTTTAATTTTGATTGGATAATCAGATAAAATGTTACACAGTATGTTCTACATATTAAAGTAACGTTTTCCAAGCACAAAAATAGATTAGTAGCCACGAATACGAATTAAGATCCAAAAATTTTAAAGTTATATAATATATGTTGTGCTTAATTTAAATTT